GTCTTAATTTAAAATCAACATGATGAGAATTATACAGACACCGTATAGGTGTTAAATTCACACTGGGGACATTCATTCAACATTTTTTTAATGCATTTAAGGCACACTATTATTGAGTGCTTTCCAATTGTAAAACCACTACACTTTCATGCACACAGCGACACAAATTGTGTTTCAATTGCCGTTAACTGTGTAAGTTTGTGTTTTGTAGTGATAATTACATGTTATTAATTGCAGTGACTATAAATGAGATTGGAGGACGTTAGATAGCTGACATTTTTACTTTTGCTAATGCTATTAATCGTTGCAGCATCATTTTTTCCGTGTATTAATTCCGTTCTATTTAAAAACTAGTCTGTTCATAATTACTGTTATGCCAAAATCAAATCAAGCATGATTCTTCATAACGTATTAGAACAAAAGTATTTAATTGATCGAAAAAGATAAAGAGGATCACCGCTGAGAATCACTGTGCGTAACTATCGGAATATAGGCTCGGTGTCAGCCGACTAGCGTGATCCTTGATAGACAGGAGGAGGTTTGGTGAGATCTCGTGTATTAATTAAGGCGAATTAGCCTTGGCGTAAGCTGGACAACGTCGACTGATCGATTCCGTGTATCGAAGGATACGCCGATGATCGCAGGCAGTCCTCTCTGTGGATTTCTCTACGGAGTGGTAGTGCTTCGAGTACCCTGTTATTAACAATGCACGTATGCACTAATGCCGAAGGCTGCGATTACCTCTGGTGGGTTAACGATTTCTTGACGAGCATGCTCCTCCGCATTGTTCTCGTTGGTCGTTGCAAATCTCTCGTGTTGCTCTCTTTTCTACAAATAATTTCCCATAATCTTAACCTCGGTATGTTCAGCCAGCATCACTTTTATAGTCGATACTTTGCTTCATACTTCATTCGTGATCGAATTTAGGAAGAATGATTTCACAAATTACGTTAATTGTATCAATTAAAGTGGTTAATTTTACATTATGATTTAATATAATTGAAAGTTTGGGATATGCACAAAGTAAATCCACAACTTTACAACCATAAACTCCGATTTCAGAGAGAAAAAAAGAAAGAAAATGAGATTTTATTTAAAATAAATCTAATAAATTAAAAAATCTAGTAAATATATGAACTTGTATATAATATGCAATTGTAACTTCTTTTTTTGTATTTTTATGGTATTAAAGAAAAGGATTCGCGTTACTTTCCGATGAGAGAAGCAAATTCAATTGTGTGCCAAAAGCGAAATGAATTATTCGAGGCATGTATAATTTCAAGGTGCGTAGGAGACCCTCAGCATCTCATTACAACCTCGAACTGACATCACGTGAACATTGCATCCGCGAACGACACGCTATACTCTTTTTTTTTTAACGTTCTAGTCGAGAGAGCTGTTAGTTCGCTCCTCATTACCAGCACGCATCGTGTCGCTCAACCATGCGTCCTAGCAACTTTCTCACATGCTGTGATGTGATAATTATATGCTTCGTGCTGCAAATGTCTCGAAGCGTACAGCTTCGTTAACCGATAGTTAACGGCGGATCTGAAAAACATATTGTATGTATGTATAAGCTGCTCCTAATTTATATGTTCAACGATGTTGTAACATGGTACGGTAAATATTATGCAATACGACATAAATAGTATTAATTTTCTTCACGAAGAAAATTAACGCGTTCATATAAAACACTGGCATATGTCCGCATTATTGTGTAGCTTAATACGCTAGATAACATCTTGTTTGTACATCACTCGTTGCGATATGATATAATATAAAGAAGAGTGAGGGAATTATTACGAACACGGGGTAAACGCGAACGATATTGTTGCAGTATATTAGAGTAGTGATAACCTCTCACTTTTCGCATCCATTCGTAGTCTGACATACGCTTAGTACTGCATTATAACAAGTGACTGCACATGCCGTTTAAAGTAAATACTATTACATGTTTTTGATGCTTTTGGTGTAGGAGAGAATGATTTATCAATTATAGAAATCTTTATATATTCAAAGGATATTGGCTTTAAACTACAATTAACTAATTATAATTTATATTATTAATATAAACTGTAATTTTGAATAAAAGATCGATTCGGCATTGCTCTACATGGCTGCTGATAATTCTGAATCGTAAAGATCTACTCTTACAATACTGATTTAAAAGTTACACTTTGCGTGACTGCGATAGATTTGTCTCAAGATGGATGAACTCGTTTCTGTATCCTGAAGTACCACAAAAGACGCGGTATGTTATTATGCGACAATTAAATAACGTCTTTGCTTATTTTCCAACACGCGTGACAAATGAATCGTAATGCATTTGCATTATAAAAAAATATATTGCTACGAAATTAATGAATTTATCGCTTCATTAGATACGCTATAAGATATAAGAATATAAGTTGCGAAAAAGGACCTGATATGTATCTGTATAAAATAAAATGAGAGTAAAGTATAAAACACATTGCGCTCAGGTGTGTGTAATTATTGATATGAGAAATAATTATGTAAGATGCTCAAAAACTGGTTACTAGAATGTTGAAATTTTTTCGCAGCACTTAAGCGTTCTGTAATTATTTTGATGATCCAACAAAATTATTTTCAGATTTGTATCTATTCTCTAAATTCTTTGGGGTGGAATTTAATTCTAAAGAGTGGAAAATTGATCCAGTCTTGAAAAAGGGTGTCTCAATTTTCAATTTTTAAGAGTGAGATTTAGTCTAAAACTTTTAGAAAGTAGCTAAATTTTTAGATATTATACTTTAACATAATCATACTTTCTACGTATGTCCCTTATTCTTTAAATTATCTTTTTTTCGTTTTTTACTTATTCTCCCTTCGCTGCAAACGGATGTGTATGGCTGTGAGAGCGATACTACGATCGGCTAATCTCGCGATTAAGCAACGTATCAAGAAGAAAGGGAGGTCGAACGCGAGGGTAGGTACCGCGTTATAATCTACAGCGCAATAAACGCGCGGAGCCGCGCGGAAAAATGCGATCGAAATGCATTAATAATGGGAGAACTAATGCGACCCTCGTCCGTTGCCCATCGGCCGATATTACGTGCACACGGCTCGTAAATGGACTAATTACTCAAGATTACGTAACAACCGTGAGCGCGCGGCACCTTCCTTCACATCGTCATTAGTCGTTTCGCGTATCCTCGGCACGTTGCGGAATAATATTCGCCCGATGGGCGTCGAGACGTTTAAGACGGCCGATTTAGATCTATCGTGAAGAGATAGAAAGAGAAAGACCACCATCCACGCGCCTCGCTAAAACTCGATCCTTTCCAATCGACGCAAATCGAGAGATCGGGGAAAACAGCTTTTGCCATTCCCCTGGGTCGCGCGTCTCTAATTACCCTGACTTTCAGGCTTGCCTCGTTAATTACCATTCGGTAATTAGACTCGCGATGTCGGAAAGGTGACGTTAATATTCCAGGATGACTGGTTTTCTTTCTGCGTCTAACCGCGGTACTACGGTTGTTACAGACAATGCGAACGTCAGCTGTAAACGACGGCAATCCGTTTTCCGCGAGATATGTGCGTGTTACTCTATTATTTTAGTACAATGGAATAAATCGCATTGAAAGATAGAACGCGTTTTTTGTAGACAAAAAATGACTCTTTGTTGCGTATCTAGCTGCTCCATCTACGAAGTCATCGCGAAGATATACCGAAAGCGCAATTTCTCGTTAAAACGATCTCACGGGCGATCGTTTCCTTCTTCGTGTACTGCAATAATTAAAACGTCCGATTTATAAAGATTAATCGTCCCTAATGCGTAATAATAAATGTGCGTTAATTCTGCCTCGTTTCGCGGTTGGGGAACTGCGACTTGGCTCACGCCCCACGACGCGATAATTGTTCCGATCGTGCCTTAACACCGGCCATTTACAAGGGCAAATACCAAATTAAGGGTTAAGCATCGATCCCGCTTCCCTCCTCGCCCGACCGATCCTCGCGATAATAACACTCCTTGTCTTGACCCGCTGTGACTTACGACCCTGCAGCTAGCTGAGACTAACCCGCTCGAGCCTCATCGCGCGGAGATTCGCGGACAGATGCGCAGATATATCGATCAAACCGCGACGTTTTCCACGAGATCAGACCCGAAGAAAGACGAGCACGTCGTCGCCTTCGTCGCTGAACCGACTGGGCTATTATCCGAGTTCAACCGGCTGCAGATTTAATGAGATCGCGAACCGGCCGTCTGATCGTAACGTTCGATTCGCCAGTCCATCTTCGTCTCGTGTTGCACGAAACGGATGAACTTGATGGCGATTACGTCACCGCCTTACAACCGAGCCGTATCCGTAATATATCTGGAGCAATTCCTCATTCCGTCTTTCGATTTCGTTTCTTCTTATTTCTTCCGTAAGTCACACGATGTCTAATCGTTTTTCACAGCATAGCATGGCATAGCGAATATAGAATCGAAATGACTTTAATATAAGTAACTCTGATCGGTATTCGTGGATCCAGTGAACAATTTTTTCAACTATGTTGTGAAAAATTGTTTATTAATAATTTTCGCGACCTTACATGATTTTAAGTTATATAATTATTCCTCACAGATTTTGACCTTTAAAATGACAAAAATCAATTATGTAACTTTAAACAAAGTTACATTAATTTAAAGTATAGGTTCTGGACTCGCAAATATTAGTTAAGGTTTCAGAGCAAATATCGATTAGAATTAAACAGTAAATTAATTTTTAATCCTTAAACTGCAGGAACAACACACTTGGTATCCCCAAATAATTTGATTGCTTATAACTTTTATATTTTGTCCGCAAAATTAACATTCTTAGAATATACATTGCATTTTATTCACAGCTAAATGACGAATTATATTATGTATAAAAATAACACAAATATGATATAATATACATACATATATTTTGTCAAGTTTATTTTATGAATTTTTCAAACATTTTTTAGGGTGCTAATTAGAGCTTTTATATTTTTATATCGTTTTTACATCGTTTATTAATGAATATCTTTTAATTTAACCAAACATCATTTAATAATTTTCAATTTCTTTAAGTTGCATGTTATAATATGCATTTTAGATCATGTTAAACAAATCCAAAATACAAAGCTTATAAGGTTACAAAAATTATTGCCAGAAATCAGGAGGTGGAGGAAGCAGTTCCATAGGTATCAATTTGAAGGTAGTCGTATGCATCCGTTCGCAAAATGTTTTGGTGCAGAAAATAGTGCTTTTGGAGGTGCAGTAGCAATTGTTGCAGCCATCAAAGTATCGTTTTCCCGGTATACATTTTCGTTCCGGCGCTATATAAATAAAATGATGAAAATGATGAAAACAAAATTATTAATTTCTATAACTATATATCTCACTTGAGCATAATTTAAATGATTGATTAATAATATTTATCATATTTGTAAGCATAAGAAATGTTAGTTACTCACCTTGCGTCGTAGCTGAAATCAAACCGACGATGCTAATGATTATAAGTATCACAAATATCTGCTGGTATTTGGATGTCATGGTTTTAGAACTTCATATGATTCAAACACTTCGAGCGTCGACTCCTTTTTGACAGAGCCAGACATGACGAGATCTTTATATAAGGTTCCTCGTTTACGTATTTCGTGCGTGACTTTGACGTCTGGACTGTTTTCTTTTTATGGCTATCTTTTTTTCTCACGAGTAGATTGGGCTGCGCCGAGTGGCTATAAGACACGCTTGAAAAGTCAAACGCTCATTCAAATAGAGTTTAGAAACAATGTAAGCGATGACGCTACATCAGATTATCGCATATATGTATGAGTGCTTCATTAGCATCTAACTGTTTAAATGCGCATTGAACTGATATAGTTTTCGTGGAATCTTGAAGGTGCTCGAATTTGTCATATATTGCACATAGTTAAAACAAAATGAATTATCATGTTATTCATAATGCTTTTGAATATTTAATTTTTATTTTTTTATTTACGGATTATAGATAGAAAATAAAATCACTACACTGAAAAAATTTTTTTTACTCTAAGTAATTTGTTTCTTCAATAGTTTCAAGTAAACAAATTGCTTATATAGAATTAGAAAATTTTTTTTTATCAACATCAAAAGAGTTGAATTTGTATGATATTTTAATAATTATTTTCACACTTTGTATGCAATGCAAGGATTAATGTAAGTTTCTTGACTGGCAAACGGACAATAGCTTTTTTTATAAATATATATTGCATAATATAACTTGCGCATTGTGATCATTATCATAATTAACGATATAATAATACCTGATATTATATTTTATAACAAGCTGTTTTATTGATAAAAAATGTCGAAGTCAATATGTTGATAGAATCAAAATTACTATTTTCGATGCAAACAACTTTATTTATCGATCCAAAATTAGTGTAATAGATAAAAAATACGATATTTATATACGATAAAAAATATATGATATCTCAGAGCGAAAAATTATTAATTTCTTGAAAATGTAATACATATAAAAATCAAAATAAATACACACATACACACACACAAATATATATATACATATATATATACATATATGTATATATATTAGTATATATAAAATTTTTATTATAAAAAATGAAAACAAAATTTCGATGTATCTTTTTTATTATTTGAAAATTTATGTTGTACTGAAGCTTATCGATGGAGAGGTTGAAACGCTAGACTTTAGCATAGCCATCAGTATAACAATTACATCTCTCTACATTGTAGCGAAGTATTTTTATTTACATAATCCTGGAATCTCTGGATATTTAGTTTATTCACATAAACATGGTGGAGGCTTAAGGATTACGCTATCACCACACCATCTAGAAGTGCATAACCACGCAGATGCAAACATATCACAAAGACATGTATTACATCCGTTATAATAGGAAAAACTGTATTCACATGTGGCCAACTGTGCAACTGTGAAAGACAGATATTTTGACATTATTTTTACATGCTGTGTTAGGTGTCATCAAAAAGATATCAGAAAAATAATTTATAAAAAAGAAATAAAGATTTACCTGATTTTCCTTGAATTAAAGTGACCAATGTGATCATCACGATCATCAACGTTAAAACGGTGTATTTACGTGACATTTTATTCTGTTTGCCTAACACTTCGTTATGTAACGAAAAATTTGATTCGAGTATAATTTTTCTACTGAAGCAAGCCGAATACGACGAGAGATTTTATATTTCGTTGCACAAGATGTATGATTATCGATATGATAAATACGATAAAAGCGTATTGTTTTATCGATAAAAGGAATTATTATCAATATATAATCAAATTAAAATTTTTGTTTACTTTGAACTGAATTTTCTTTGAATTGAAGTGGATCATAAATTGTTCTTCTATCTTATCTTGATTTAAAGCAAGTGTGAAAATAACAAATAAAAAAATAAAACGTTTCAAGACGAACAAGTACTATGTTATCAATGCTATAATGTACATTGTCGCATGATTGATTATGCATCGATACATAACATTTCGATGATTATTTAATAGTTTAATACAAATTTGTTTTTATACAATAGAAAGTATGTATATATCTAACTTCTACCTTTAATGTCTGACTTTCTTCACGCGATATAAATGCAGATTAGGATATAAGTTTTGCAATATTATCTATATTGTTAACAGTATACAGCACATGCAAAACTCGTATGAATAAATATAAAATTTATGGTATATGTATTTCTAAAACAGAAGATGTAAATATGAAAACATGAAATTTATGTTGTCATAAAATGCTTAAAGATATGGATTTTGTTTATGCTAAATATACGCGGATAACAAATGTCTACGTTAATATTCCAATGTGATTGACAAATTTTTTAATCGGTTTAGCTTCGAGAAACGCAATTTTTTTCTTTAAATAATAAAGATATTAACATGTCTGTTAATATCGACATTAGTCTATCTTATCGTCAAGATATTCTCATAGTATTATTTATCTGTTACAGGCGAGAAGCCATATCAGTGCACGTGGGAAGGTTGCACGTGGAAATTCGCACGATCGGACGAGCTGACGCGGCACTATCGCAAACACACGGGCCAAAAGCCGTTCAAGTGCCATCTCTGTCAGCGATCGTTTTCGCGGAGCGACCACTTGTCGCTCCACATGAAGAGGCACTGATGGCGAGGACCATCTAGAGTCGCGCCGATGTGAGAGAAAGCGCACGCCGATCTGCGGGAGGAAATAGAGGAAAGCCGGAGAACGGTCCTCGGTAATCGGATAGTGATCCTGAGCAATCCTAGACGAGAAACGACGATATTTCTTACATTTGGGACCTGAAGAGCCATGCCACGTGTCGGCCCGTTTCGAACTTTAGGTCGGACCGACCGGCCGGGCAGGCAGCAACTAGGAAAAAGAGAAAATAAATCGATGAAGCAAACAAATCGCGTTTATTAGATTTAGCGCTTAACCGCGAGCTAAGTAATCGCGGCGATCGACTTTGGTCGGCTGATTCTCTCGGTGCTGTCTCTCGCAAGCCTTTCCGACGGGATCTCTGCGGAAAAGAAAGGCCACAACTGCGATAATTGAGCCGATGTCGGAGTTACGATGGTCGAATAATTGCGAGGGAAGATAATCAATTGTCAGGTTTTAACAAAGGCGTGTTTCACGACTTTGAGGGAGGAATGATCCGCTTGTGCGATCGAGATCGCCTACAGATTCGGCACGATGAGACGTATCGTTACGTATATCCGTTCTCTTCTGTGTTTCTAGCCAATTTTTACTCGTTCGATTTTCCAGTTTGTTTTCTTTTATATATATATATATATACATTTAATTAAGGCCAGCTCAACTAGTCTAGAGCACCATATATCGTATGTATCGCGAAGAAGAGAGCCAGTATAATAATTAATTAATTAATTAATTAAGATAAATAAATGGTTAGCATGTAAGTTAAAGAATATATCGAACTCCGGTGACGGAGCTTGGGACTTAGCATGCTCAGTTAAATAAACTACAATCGTGATCGTAGACACTACGTAAAGCATTGATAGAGCAATTTTTCGATTATGCACAAAGAATTTCGCGTTTAGAGACGGACAATCATTAACGTTTTATTACGTAGTAATGAAACGTGATATATAAACGTCGACATACCAGAAGCCAGTATTACATAACAAGCAATATCACCGATGGCTTTATATGTACGATGCTTTCCAAAATCTCTTTTTAATCGCAGAGAAGAGGAGCCTTCTTCGATCGTAATTTGCAAGTCGTTAAATTTGAATTCCGCGTGTAAAGGTGCCAAAATAGAAGGTGCAATCACGAGATATCGTAAATAGTACTTTACAAAAAAGAACAAGCATAATCGAGTAAATTATTCTTTTCTATCGCGCCTTGAGATTTTTAATCCTGAATGCATTGTGGGTTTCACGCAAATACTAATTAGTGACAGTGTTATTTCGCATTTTACGTGGGCATCCTGAAGACTCAGCAGCTCAATAAATATCCACTTGGGCATCGAAATATATGCTCAAACATTTTGTGTTGATTGTCGAAAGAACGATTCACTGTTCATATATATTTATATCGTTCTTTACGATTTTCTATTTACAAATGATGATTATATCAGGATGCCTTGACACTTTGAATTGGCAATTTCAGAATTACTAAGTCAAAAGGGCAATTTAGGCTTTACATTTTAAAGACTATTTAATTATTTACTATTGGATTAATTAGTAGATTTCGATAGAAATTAGTTTGTGCAGGGAGACAGCAATGTTTAGCCACAAAGTTTTGTATTTATCAAATTAGTAATGTATATTTATAAAATTAAATTATGAAGTGTTAGAATGAAGTCATATCTTAAATCCCAAAAATAACAATGAACATTCAAAATGGCCATCTTACCTTTCATACGAGCGTTACAGCGTTTTGGAAACGCATCAACGCCGCGCTTTTTTCATGGATAAATTCTCCTAGACAGCCAATAAAGCAATCTTTAGTTCACCAATCGGTGAAAATCTTTTGGTGTAGAACTTTTTTGGTATTCAGATGTAACTAACATTTTAGAGTTTTTTTTTTTTTTTTAATATACGTTATTACCCAAGTTGACGTTATTTATCATTATTTTGTCAAAATGACGTTTTTAATGTCATTTTAATGTCAAAATAGTAACAAATAGCATTTGCTACCTGGATAATGATTTGATTAACATCCAATTTTGTGACTAAACTTGTTGTCATATCTTGTACAGTTTTTGTAGTTTCGATTTAATATTAGGAGTACTAAAACGTTAATAGAATTAATTGCATAATGTGATGTAAATAGTGTATGTTTATTTAATTTCAGTCGAAAGAAAAGATGGATTGGCTGTTGAAAATTATACCGAAGATATCGAAATCGCTAATTCCGCGTGTCAAACGATTGGACGTTAATGGACATGAAAATCTCAATGCGCTCGCTTGATATCGTAATACATTGTGTACATAATCTCTAGAAACTTTACGAAACGCGACGTACACTGCGTAGGTGGCAGATGTAGCATTAGCCTGTTTCTTTAAACCGCGTTTACGCCGCTGCATGAGCGCGGCTGAAGTTAGTTGGGACACCTATCATGAAGCCAGTTGAGACAACGGAACAAGATGCCAGTATATCCTAGAGCCAGTTTATATCATTAAAGAGAAAACCTCCGCGTGTAAGATTAATGCGAGGGTCGATAAATTAACATTTGTTACGTGTTGTACTCTGATAGGGGATAGTGCCTTCTAATGTTAAGGAAGAGGGACGCTGCGTTAGGCCTTAAGTATTACTGTTAGTGCCTTAAGTCACGCGAATCTTCGTGCTTGTACACCTTTCATAATCCGATCCTACGAATCCTCACCCGGAGGACCAGTTCGGCGCGCTTTATGGTATCTTCCTTGCAGAAGTTACAAATCGGATGTCACCTCGACTCACATGAAGCTCGGTTAAATATGCACGAAGTTTTCGGGATACCAGATATTGAATCCGGGAATGAAAATTATATCAAGCGTATGAGGAATGAGATATCACACTCGTAACGATATGGAATTTTTAACGAAATTTTTAGTTATCTATTGAATGTCGAATCGAGCAGAACTATGAGATTCGGCATATTGGCACATATTGACATATATTATATTCCTGGCGGAAAAGGATCGTTCATATATATTGTTATATGATCATTGATATAATCGAATGTATTATTTCTTCTCTCATATAACTTTTACAATTTAGAATATAATTACTTATACATCCTCACACATTTCTGTGTAGATCTCATTGCATGCTAAAATTTTGAAATATCCAGTATTTCACACACTTCTCAACATATCGCATGATTTGATAGGACGGATAAAATAATAATCTAACATTCTATTGCTTTTTTGCATAATTTACTATGCAGGCTGCTGGGCTGCAGTAGAATCTTTATAGACGAACTGACAATAGTCACGTTTTCATATGTATACGAATTATTTTCGTACATTGTTATCATCATAAAATTCGATAATGAAGAAAATATCCAAGATACTATTTTGATCGTATTAATTCGGGAGAAATATCTCTAAAACGGCCGTCAAAAAAGCGCTGAGCGTCACATAAACAGCGAAAATGTTATTAATGTAAATATTAATGTCATAACGACACCGTCTTTCACTTTCACTCATATATTTGTGCTGACGCATGTCGCCACCTTGTCCTTTGTATGCCTTTCATTCAAATTTAGCTTTCAGATTGCTGTCTGAATATTCATATTAACGGAATATCCAAATCCCTTTTGCGATATTGAGGAAAACTAACTAAAGATTGGGCCTTTTAATCTAAATTATCCCGGACTTAAATGATTGTTTTCGTAATCTTTCGTTAAAATCATAATCTTTTAAGTTATCTTTGTTGAAGTTATCTCATTCGATTATCAGTTTTGTAATATTCCTGTTTATATTTACATTATATTATATCCAATTTAATTTCTTAGATAAGAGTTAATTAAAAAATTTCATTCAATTGTTTTTTTTTTATTTTGAGCATTAAATTTTTCCTTTTTAGATTCTTTATGCATAATAATAAATGTCTTTCAAGATTCAGAAAACGTAATTTCGTTTAATAAATGGTTAGAGATATATATAGTTATAAATATATAGAAAATTACTTATACGTTCAACGTTTAAAAAAAGTTTATTCAATAGGTGTGTACGTTTTCGTAGAATATTTGCTCACTTGCTCACGTTCGGCTAGAAAAGTGTTTTTATATTTGCATGCGGCACGTGGCATCGATCGTTATTGCTATAGGCTTAAGAAATGCTCGAAATGCATGAAATAGGTAGCTGTTACGTGCGTTAAATGCCGTCCTTTTAAGAAAAGATAGAAACGAATCATTGAACATTCCTGCAATTAGCACGAGAATTCACTCAAGTTTTTTGCGCGGAATTTTCTACGTTTTTAGGGATTTCGATATTCCGGAAAAAAAATGAAAAGGACTAGAGGATTTACATTCCCCGAGCACACACGTTCCTATATCGAAAAGTGCGTGTAGCTTCAAGAAATTCAATGCTTTACGCGTATTCGAGTGTCTCTCCTTTTCTATTTCTCTCTCTATATATATATCAGCGCTTATTTCTCATGTTAATGCACGACTATTCAATTCTCCGTAGAAGGCGAACCGTGAATGGATAAGGAAGTAGGTAAACGAGCTTCATATCTGAATTTTCTTTGAAGGGCCCCGCCCTGGAAAATTAGCATTTCAAGTGCCTTAACAGATGGTCAACTGACAGCTAACTAATCGGGATTACGCAGTCGTGGACTCTAAGTCACCGCGAGTCGCCAAGTCTTGGACGTAGGTCATTTATATTTGGCACACCTCGGCGAGTCTGGCTCTAAAAATGAATAAAACAAATATGCAGCGATTTGCATACACGACACGCGCGAAGAGGAATTCCGTCGATTACGGATCTTAACAGTAATTCCGGAAGAAGCAGCGCTACTATGCTTCGACGATATTTCTCCTCGCGTTTCTGTAGTGTTGAGTGATATCGCGAGAGCATTCTTGGAGAGCTCGACCATTTTCAACCGAAATTCAACCGAAATAAGATTTATTTCAAGAGAACCAGTAGCACGAAGAACTGAAGAGTGATCGGTATTTCAAGAAGAAACGTATTATCTACATGAGATATCGCATTCCAAGCATTTTCTCGGGAAGATAGACCGGTCCAAGTGAAAGTTAAAAATTTCTTTAAAAGCTTAGACGAGATCCAACAACGAGATATGTTATTTTAGAAAGGGATCACTGTCACAGTTTTAAATTACTGTTTTATCAATTTTCAGGTTTCATAATATATTTTTCAGTATTATTTCTTGACGTCATGTGCCACTCATATTCAATGAGGAACCGCTAAAAATGCTAAATACGGAATAACAGTATGCTTCAGGTTACTTCGCGGATAGTTGATACATCTTTCTATATATATTATTAGTATTATTTTTGCCTCTCGAATTTGCATATGTGCATAAATCATTGAAAATCGTGATTTTCTTTTTCTTCTTTTTTATTTATTTTTTTTTTTAACAGGTACTAGCGCTGCATGTTTCTTTTCAATTACTATTTATGGTGTGCATGATATTTTATGGTGCTTTCGTATTCAAATATGAGCATAATTGAATA